ATCCGTATATCCGCATAGTTTATTAGTGGATTATGCATAACTCGAATGCATCTTCATTCTTAGTCTTTCAAATTCCTTGTTATTTGCCTTACAATTTTCAGTGTCTGTGCTAAAACTTCAGACCTGCGTTATTGTTTAGTCAGGGTTAAATTGGTTTTATGTCCAACACCGACAAGCATGAAGGAGCTTCTGTTTCATCAAGAACACTTAACTTATGCAGCTATCGAATAAGTCACAAGGCACATCTTATTGATAAATGAAGGTTACCAGGATAATGATAGCGAATGATTGGTTTGTTTAATCCGTTCCAAACTTCAAAAACTCTTCGAAATAAGACTTTGCATTTGTATTTTTAGGATCTTTCAATAATAGCTTACTTTTTTTGTTTTTGGTTTTAAGATGTTTTATTTCATTTGAAATGTTGCCTTCTTTTATGTGTCGAAGTTGTAGATTGAGGGTTTATTTCAGATAACGTAGACAATAAGTGTTTTTTACTAGCTGTATATATTGCTGGCTGTAGAAACATTTGATAATTGGATTTAGGTCAGTTATATGTTTGTCGTGTCTTAACAGGTACTCATGAGGAAGTACTCAACATGTTCGAACTATCGCCTTATTCTATACATTGTACCATTATGGTTTATCATGAGTTATGACATGCTGCATCAAGGTTGGAAAGCATGAGCCACAAAGCTTACTATGAATTGCACGATCATCATTTTTAGGATAACAAGCCTATTACTCTGTTAGTGTTCTCCCCAAGTCATGTTTACTAGAATTTCATTCAAGAAACTAAGTTTATTACCAATATTGGAGGTTTGGTTAAGGTTTCTAGTAACCACAAAAATTTTGTCCATGAATTGAATGCCAAATCACTAGAGAAAACACAAAATAGTTATTCCACATTTAGCCAGAGTTTCAGCATGGAAAATGTGTATTGTTTTGTACTGGGCAAACACGGTGATACAGGAAATCAGGCACTAAAAGATCCGATTGTAAACACATTTCAAGGTACAATTTTATTAGTCGCATAGTGTCAAAAAAATTTCGTTCCCAAACCCTGCAATTCTGGATTCTTACTAAAAACTGTCGCAGTTCTTTTCTAAAACCATTGCCGTCAAAGCGTCCTCTGTGGCAAGACCATAGTAATCTGATATAAACTAAGACTTCAGAAGTGACAGACGACGTTTTAGGAAGCTGTCCCTTTTGGAGGACGATAAAAATAAGCCACTATTATTTACATATACGTCATGTAAATCTAAAAATACCTTTGGTTATTTCTTGCCCCTCTGTCAGAGAACGAGCAATTTGACGTCATATTGGGGTATAAATAATAAGCCCTTTACGCTGGTGTGTCTGATCTATAGTGGTAACGTTGTTGTTACCTTACCATCAAGAGAAGACGGTGTATGAAGCTATCCCTAATTAACGTTCGTAGCTAGTAAATTTGTCAGTTCCCAAGGTCACGATATCTTATTCTTCTTGTTAACTTGTTTTGATGCGTTGGCTGTCATTCTGAATTGGTCCGCTGAGTACCTAATCAATACTAAACTCCTTTGGTCCATTTTCTGATTTGGCAACAACTGCACTTGGGTGTCAAAAATACCGGCTTTCTGCACCACTGTGTGATTGCCAGTTAGTTTTATCTTTAAAATCATCATGAGCTTGCCGTTACACTACAATATGCAGTTCGATTGCCATTTCGTACATATGGTACTTTTCTTTCATTCTCCTTTCCTCCTGTTGCTACTAAAAAGAGAGTAAAGAATGCTTAGGTGTAGATATGAGAGATTGTCATTTTGTACAGATACTTTTCATTCGTTTTACTCCTTTCTTTCTGTTGCAACTAAAAAAAGAGTAAAGAATACTCGGTGTAGATATGTGTGTTCAAATGGTTTATGTACCTCGCCATTGCTCTTTGCACTTGTTTGACTATCTAAAAGCAACGTATTCTAACTACCTTTTATGAAATATGACAAAGTAATGCTGTGTGTCAGTGTTCCGGACTGAACATTAACCCATCTTTAATGATGCTAAACTAGCAATCTTTCAGTTGTGATCACCGAGGAGCTAGTAATGAATCTCTTGATCTTATGGTTGAAAGTGCGTTTTTGTGCGTTGGTATATAGCATCTTCAGGGTAAAGGAGTCTTTGGTTAAGGAAAAAGAACCTGGAAACTGAAAAATGAAATGAAAGCATAGGAAGAAATAAGATGAGACAAGATAACACTTAGTAAACAGATGCATGCTCATAGTATATTTGTATCCGTATTTGTTTGGTATTTGCTTGGCGTAGAATGTTATCAAGGGGCCACTTTAACTCGCTTTTCTGTCAATCTTCTTTTTTCCTGGACAAGCCATGTGAAACCGTATAAGGCCAAGAGCTTGGAAAACCTACGGTAGTTGATTACGAAAAGAGAGAAATTACGACACATTATTACGATCTTCGAGTATTATAATATTTGCTAGCGTAAACTTTTTGGTCTTTTTTCACTTCAATATTATTATTATTCATTTGATAAAATATTTGTGTCAAAAATAATAGACTTTCTTTTCTTTTCTTTGCTGTTTTTTTTTTTTTTTCATAAAGGATTTTCTCTAAATTGTGATAACATAACACTGAAGCGAGAATCGCGAAGAAGCACGAATCTGAACGAATTCGTTGAAAAGAAGATGAACGACGTTCGAAAAGACTAACTAAAGTGACAATCAAGTCATTTCAAATCTTAATGTCACATTCAACATGCATTTTTTAAACCTTGAAATATAATCGGCTTTAAATAATGCATAGTATATGTGGTGTTTTCTTGAGTAATTATTATTACAAGTTGCTAACCATTAGGTTTTCTATCTTTTAAGATTCTTGCGTGACTGGTACCAGTATGGCTCCATTACGACGTAACGAGTAAATTTCTTTGTTTATTGGCATATATATCATATGAGTTTAAAATGATTAAATCATAAAATCAGTCGTATAAATTCACTTTCTCGATTAATCAAATATTCAAAAAAAAGATTCTTAAATGTAAATCAGGATTAAATAAATTAAAATGTCATGCACGGAAGTGTCCTGATGGGAAAAGGCGGAAAACGAATTGGTTTTTTAAATAATGGGGTCTTACGCCTATCGATAAAAGTTGTAAACTTTTTACCTATGAATGGTTTCCAACAAAGAAAGAAAATAATAATCATACTTTTCTTTTTATGCCGCCGTGTTTCTTTTTTGCATAGGTAGCTGAAGAAACCACTACGCCATTAAAGAGCAATTATTATCTTTCCAACAAAACAACACAAAAGATCGCCAATAAGAAAATAAATTTATCCATCTTATCAATCGGATATAAATTTTACGGTTACCATATGTTAAGATTTCTTTTTCATGTATTATTTTTTTAGTCTGGTTTATTGACTTACCAGAAATTTATCAAACTGATGAACATTTGTTAGCGAGAATTTTCCAATAATGGGATATGAAAAAACTGTTTCGAAAAACTAGTGGCGTTGTCAAATATTTATCGATAATTTTTGTTAACACGTTCAGTTAGTTTATAAATGTTTCACTATAAAGAAGAAAGACTTCGCGTGTACTGTATTTTGATATTCGACATGTCACTTTAGTAGTCCTTCACTCCCAGTATTCCATATTTTTTACTACTAGTAAGTTATCTTTAACCTAAAAGTTTAGTAGCATTGTTAGTGTCACAGTCGGGAAGCAGTATATTGCCTATATTAGAATTCAAAGGAAAATATTTGATAAAGCATCGCCTTGTTTTAGGGTGTCTTTTAGTGATGAATTATCGTGTGTTGTTACCATAATTCGTTTACTTCTACTTTTCACTTATGATTTCGTGCGTTCCTAAAATTGGAGGCAAGACTTAAACGTCGCAACCTTAGACATGGAGTCTCTCACATTTTATACTAAAATCCTATCTTTTTGTGATCTTTTGTGATATTCCAGCTTTTTTAGATTGAATGCTAATCATTGTGGGACCTAATTTGAATCGAACGGAACAAGTAAACATGGAAGTACTCGCGTATGATTGGTTAATGTCTTGTCAAACATGACCGACTGTTGACAATTGACAGCTTTACTATAATAGATTTCTCTAAATGCATTGTGTATCTTACAAGCCTAACGGTAACACACGACAGTTCTATGAAAACCGCTTGTTTTGGTTCAAACAAAAAGTTGGTTTCCAACCATTCAACTAGTGGTAGTAGTGTCACCAAGTTTAATATGAAGGCCGCTGTATTGGCGGCGGACTGAACGGCGCGCTCTCGGGCAAAATTTCGCGATAAATAATTTATCGGTCAACTGAGTACTGCAGCTCTTTCCCGCCAGCGCTTTGATTGGTCAGAATATGGTCACATGTCTTGTACTGTCGAAAATGACAATAATTACCGTCCAATTGTCAATGAGAGCTTTCACGGAAGGAGTGAAAGGTTTGCGTGTAGGAGGTGATAGTGAATGTAAAAGTTCGAGAGGTGATCTTTGGAAGGAGTCAGCGCGCACTCAGCTGTATGGCGGGAAACTAACTTTGATGGCGTTACAGTATTTACTTACTGACCAAAAACATAATTGAACCTAAGACAAAGATACAAGCAAATGAATCGAAGGTGATGCTTTGTTGTTAGATATACAAGAGGTTTTTGGCGGCGTTTACCGCTCCAGGATCATTCGTTTCGTTAAGGGTCTTACCAAAAAGTAGTGCAATCGCGGCTATTCTTCGACACGTGTGATTTGTTTACATTCTTATTTGTTAGTCTCAGGTGTGTTGTACTGTATTCTTTGAGTTTTTTTTAGCTGTGAAGTCGAATTGTGGTTCGTCACTATGCCCCTTTATCTTTATGTAGCGGCCGCCTATTCGCTCGCTCTTTACGGCGGTGTTTACAATCGCCTCGGATTAAGCAACCCTCGCTTACGAAACGTTGTACACATCTCTGTTGTTCTTTCGAACTCGAAAGTTAGAAATGACTTTATTTTCTGCTGTGTCTTTTCAGGCTTCGAGTATTTGGAATGAGGACGCGTACGTTACCTCGTAACTGCCTTTAGAAAGGAGAGGGTCGCGTATAATGAACGATTCTCAAAATACATCTCGTTCTCCAACAATGACGACAGACCGAGCTGCAAACCAGGACAGACCTCAAGCCAAGGAAAAGGACACCCAAAGATCTCCTGCCTCAGACGAAGTTGGAGGTCGACAGTGTGGTACTCCTGATGGAGGGCGACCTACAGAAGATGTTAGTGATATTGATAACAAAATAAAAAACCTACAAGACAAGGATGACAAAAAGGTATTTGAATATTCATAGTTGAATTAGCGAGTCCAAAGATGATCCCGTTGTAATACGACCTCTGTTATTTGTAGCGAAGACAGCTTACACTTAACATCATTTTTTTAGTGCTGTTTGGTAGGTGAGATGGGAACCTTATATAATTCTAAGTTTTCTTAGAAAGGGATCAGTGGTTCTTGTAACTCATAAATAATGAAATCTAGTTATGGAGAATCGTAGAGTGCCTTCGCGTGCAGACATAAGATATAGTCTTCGAATTCCTCGCATTCCCGCGTTTTTAGCGGTCATCATAAACAGAAGATCCGGACCTCATTGTTTCTTGTTGCACTTGCTCTTCCTGGTGGAGCACAGCCAAGACGATTCTGGACCCCAGTAGATGAGGGTATTGTTGTTCACGTCCTTTGATTGAGGCAAACATTGACTAAAGGGTAGTTGCCAGTAAATTATTGTCAACCAATAGTGCTCGACGAGTTTCGTAAATAACCATCTATTACTAGTGTTAGCTTCGCCGTTCAGTCGTAGTTAGATATTTCAAAACATTCAATTTCTTGTTTGAAAAGACATGGCTAGACCATCGAATAGGCTTCTAAATGGTTTTGATTTAGGTGTCGTGTTCCGTAAAATGCTTTGTTGTAAACAACCTTTCTCTGCACAGATTTAATATATTTTAGGATCAATTTGTCGAATAGCACAACAAATAATGATAAAACAACATCTAACTGGGTTTTCGTTTGTAGATTTGATTCATAATGGCTTTCTAGTGCCATCGTTACATCGATTTTTTCGCGTGATTTTTAAAACCGATTTAGTAGGTTGTAACGCGTCGGTAACTTACAAATACCGAATGATGATCATCAGTTCATTATGGTCTATGTAAATTGTTCCCTTCAAATAACTAGTCGTTTTTTATCGTAATTCGTTTTCTCGTTTTAATTCTTTAGCTTTTTTACATCTAAATGTAGTGAAAAGCGTTCTCAATGATAGTGTTTTAACAAGAAATGTTTTAGTCCAAATTGTATGTTAGCGAAAAAGGAGTCTCTTGATGGTGCCTCACCGCATAAACAAGAAGCCCGTGTTTCCCTCGGTAGGCGTTTTCGAATGAAGTTCTACCAAATTATAACATGTTATAACAATACTAAATAACACAGATTTTGTATTAACGGCATCTTTTATTTTCTTCGTTAGCTCAGAATTCAGTGTTCGTTGTGCGTGACCAGTCGGCTGTTCACATAAACGAATTCACGATAGAATTCAATTAAACCCATCAAAATAGTAAACACAATCATTGTGTTTTTATATTTTTTTTCTCATTTTTGTGAAAGAGAAGCCTGTTCAGTGCTTATCAAATCACTTGGTATTCTATAAAGCCAGTACTATGTTATTAAAAGCATTATTTTGATCGATAAAGACACTAACATGGCTTTTTCCTACATATTTCTTTTGGAAGACATACTTGTGTCGATAGTACTTCGCTAATTCGAAAGTTTTCTCCGTCAGCGTCGTTTTTTTATTTCTATTGTAGAATCATGTGTCAAAAAAAACGCCAAAAAACAACGGTTCTTATGAAGTCAGAAAAAGACACATGCGTTATCGAGGATCATATTTGTGTTATGGAAAGTATTATATTGATTAACGAGTTTCACTGAAACAAATGAAAATTTTCAATTTCACTGAACCTTAACTTCGATGTTTTCGAATCTATTTTGCCCCCAATAAGTTCAGGAGCAGACTTAAGTGGCTCATAGGAGATACAAAGGAAGTAATCATTTCTATTGACAAATTCGATTTTATTTTAATAATGTAAAATTATCATTGTAAATTAAAATATTTGCTCCATAAAACAACCTTAACAGCTCGTTGTTTTGTGCCATTTTTTCTAGACATTATGTTATGATAGAGTACTTGCCTAGCATCTCGACCCCCTGTTACAAATAGTTTTCCTTCCTGTAAATAAATATGTGGCCCATTTTACGGTTTTGTTACATGACAGTGTTCTTTGATTTCATGCCTAAAGCAGGCACAAGCAAGACAACAGCAAAACAAGAGAAAACTCCCAAGTAACATACCAAGACAGGTAAACCAACCTAGTAATAGTAGAAATCATTATAAAACCATTTTTTCTTCCCCAAAAACAGCATAGAACATAGACTTATCAGCCACAAAAACATGTGTTTTGTTACTTGATAGCATTCAGACATTTCAAATATCAAGAATCAGGGCAACTGTCCAAGTGGCATATTATAAGCATTATGTTTATTCTCTTGCTTTGAAAAAAGTATTCATAGATAGAAATGGGTCATGCATAAATTTGGAAAATACCACCTGACCTAAGGAGTAAGTTTGTTGATCTTCTCATCTGTGACTTTGTTATACTGCAAAGATGAGCTCATATACCCCTTGCTTCATCTTGTTGTTTTGTAACCTGACTCTTAACGGAAACGTAATATTTAGAATCTGTTGAAATTACTCTATGGTTATCTCTTGACCCAGAATCCCTGTATAACTCTCAAGGCCATTTGGTACTAGACGATTTGTAAATACCCAGCTAGATCTGGGGGATATATTGACTAAAAATATAGGGTTTCTTCATTTATTCGTGTCCATACATTTATTGAATTATTTAGAATTATTTGATAATTTAGTATGTTGTATAAAGAATTCTTTATATGAATTTAATACCAATCTTTTTAGAGTATACATAAACTCCCGAGGATATAACTATCCCCACAAAAATAATATAAAAATAACTTTGTTATGGTTTTGTAAATGCACAACAAATGTATAAATAGATGTGTTTATTTGATGCTCCCAAAAACATTTTTAGTTACCAATTTTTTCCTAAAAACAATAGCAATTATAAAATCACTATTCAGTTAAAGTGTTGTTTGCTTTTCTTAATGTTTCTCTTAGTATGAAGACAAGTTTTAAGGGTGCCCATCTCAAATATTAATTAGTTGAGAACTGATATTTAATATTTTCGAATATAAATTCTTTAACGATTTTCCAACCTTTTGAATTTCTACCATCTCAATACTTATTAGTTGAGAACTCATGATATTTAATATTTACCAATATAAATTCTCTAACAAATTTCCCAAGCTTTTGAATTTGTCCGTTTTAGTTAATTCTCCTATTTTGTTATGCTTTGTTTTGTCATTTTAATAAATGTCATTCATTGAAAGTTAGTGATTTTAATATGTGTATAAGTGTGAATTCCAAATATGTTACCAATTTTTAAGGTATTAGCATACTTAAGAATAAGTATTTGTCATACATATTTTCTCGTGATTTTACCAATGAGGTACAAATCTGTTTGTCTTACGAACAGATCATAAATTTATATGCATACAATTACATTCAAAGTGGTCTTGCATTTGGGATTCACACTGTAAATGATAATCAGAAAATGCTGAAACAAGTTATAAAATTTCATAAGATTTCACAAGTTATTTAGATTTCATTATCCACACTTCTTTTCTTAATGATTTTTTTTTCACAGTGTAAGGATCCAACTATTATCAGGAGCCCCCACTACCCCATCTCCTTTTCCTTCTCTCCCATCTCCCTCTCAATTATTTACTTTGCAGTTATTCTCCTAATATATGAATCTTTAATGAGATTGAGTATCTTGTTTTTCTTTCTTTTTGGCAGTCCTTCATTACTATTGAGATTTTTAAAATGTTAATAATGACCTCAATTAACTACTTTGATGCCTTAGCCTTGAAACCTTAGCCTCAGCCTTACCCTAATTTATTTCAACAGACTAAGTCACCAGTGTATAGTAGTCGTATAAAGCCCCAAAACCCTGGCACTGTCTGGCCTACTAGTTACCCCCCAGCTTGGCATTTTGGATTTAGGGCACCACAATTTCATGCACCCGCCCCTATGTATCCTGGATATCATCAGACTAACGTGAGTATGAAATTCTTAATTATTTGTTATACAGTAATCTTAATTTGTGTGTTAAAATACGCAGCCACCCCAGACAAAAATCGTGACGTGCACTTTGCAATAGACTGCGGTCAATCAAACATGTTGGCATCCTTTACACGCATGTGTGATTCAAAAGGTGCCAAAACTTGTTGATTGTTTACAAGTATTATGAGCCACACTCACCGGGCTGATCTGGGCTGATCCAAACGCGCGTAAATGATGTCAACGTGTTTGGTCGACGGCAGTCTATTGCGAAGTTTACGTCACGATTTTTGTCTGGGGTGGCCACGTAGCAATGCAAATGGCGGTAATACCCATTTAAGTCTTTTCCATATCCATTTATCCTCTGTTGCCCCACCCCCTCCCCTTCAAATATCTGTATCCCTATATTTTCCCCTTCAAATACCCTATTTCCTCAGAATCACTAATGGATGTAGTAAGATATCAGAGCATACAAGGAACAGAGACTTAAATGGCTTACTTGTGCAAACACAGCACTTACATATTTTTTTAGTTGACCCACTTCTATGCCTTTAATCATGAAGCACTACTAAAACTTACATATTATATGCTCAATGAAAAAAGTTGTTTGAATCATTATTTTTTTCTTTTATTTTAGGCTTACTCTGTACAGCCTTCAAATTCTCCTGGATTAAGTAGTAGAAGTTCTAGTGATAGAGGTGACAGCTTACAAGATGGAGAGGAAAAACTCAGCAAGACTAATTTGTATATACGAGGGCTTAAGGCCAACACTACAGATGAAGACTTAGTTAGACTATGCCACAAGTAAGGGCTGCAAGTGCCATGTCGTGTATTTGCATTCATTTTATAATTGTACCTTTGAGCTTAGTACCATAAACTGCACTTTGCCTAATTATATAAGCAGCTTAACATTCATACGCTAGGCAACTAGTCATGAAGACACATCCAGTATGGGCTAATTATGAGGGATAGTCCCCTTTACAGTTCCCTGTGCCATCTGGAAAGGTAGCCATGCCTTTGCATCGAAGCGAGATGAACAGTGAACTTCCAATCATAGAGATATCTTATGGTACAAGGTCTCTATCATTGAAAACTCACTATTTGTCTCACTTTGATATAAAGGCACAACTACCTTACTGTAGGGATTACTGTAGCCATTTTTGTAATTGCAACTTGGTTAATATGTTCTGAACCATTTGTATTTAGGCAATTCAACCGGGTTGTTTTTCAATGTAAAGATCACACTAGGGGAGGTCAGGACTTCTCTATTGCGTGGCCTCTTGAAATTTTAAATTTCCTAGTATGCAAACCTTGCAGACCTGAATTGCAAGAGAACTTCAAAATTGAGTACTACATGTATAAACAGCAATGTCTACAATAGGATACCTAGTATGATCTAGTATGACTCACGAAAGTGTACCAGGATTGATTTCATTCCCAGATTTAGAAACATAAAGCACTAGCAAATTTTCATTCTTAAATTTTTACTAATTTTCAATTTTTTCTGTAAATAGGTATGGAACAATTATTTCAACTAAAGCTATTCTAGACAAAGATACTAATTTATGTAAAGGTAAGAATTAAAAATTTCTGCATCAGTTTCTGATAACGGCAAGTCAAGATCAAAGTATATACCATATCAGTCTAGGAAAAAATATTGTTGATTATCAGTCAATAAACATTAGCAGATTACTTTAATTAAAGCGTTTAAAGATTCTTAAAATCTATGATTGCAACGTCAACCGGAAGTGTAAATAATTTCTCTTTGGGGTTCTGTTCATTGGAGATTTTATTCAAAACATTGTCAGTAAAAGTCAACTCATGCACAAAGAAGACAGACTTTGAAGGCACAAAAACCCCAAAGAGGAGTTTGACTTTGGTTTGATGTAGCCCTCTTGGATTTTACAAATCTTAAGGTCGCTATTGTCTTGCTAATAACCACTATTCCACAATATTTTGCATTAATAGAAGTTAATAGCTACATTTCGTTTCACTGGTTTATGTAAATCACTCTGTTAGCTTATAAATAAACACCACATGAATCACCACTGATAATTCTACATCCTAACCAGTGTTAAAGTATGCCAAAATGCAAAAGTATGGTTTTGTTCTTTACAAAAATGCATTCTTTTCGTTTTCTTTTAAGGTTATGGCTTTGTTGATTTTGAAAGTCCAGCAGCTGCACAGAAAGCAGTTGCTGCCTTAGTTAATAGAGGAATCCAAGCACAGATGGCAAAGGTACTTATGCACACTAGCTATATAATGCTTTATGATAATTTAACTTTTAATTTCCTTGAGGCTACTGTGGCTTTTGTTATAATCTCCTTCTTCCGACTGACCATATCACCCAACTCTTACAGTACGACCAAATGTCAGATTCATTTAACTATGTTACTATTATAGATATAAACACAATATTTTTGAATTTCTCTTTATTTTCGTGTTGGTTGTGCGAGTGATATATCTTATACTCATTAATTATTCATGAGCTTATTGACGCCTCGGCATTTGAAATTCCACTCGGATTTTGAAAACCTAATAGAATACAGCAACTCGTATTTGAAACATTACTTTACATCCATTGGCATTCTACCACATTCTATTTTGTTTCATAATTTATTACCACATTTTATTAAATAATGGATTTTAAGGTTGTTGTAATAGCTGTTATTATGGTCGCATGCAAATGAGATGCAAATGAGACGACAATTATATCAGCCCGATAGCCTCACTTGTATGATTATTAAAACAAAAGAATTTCTCATTGTGGGCCAGTAGCGTAGCGAGGGGGGGCACGTGCCCCCCCAAAATTTGTGAAAAAAAATTTTTTTGAAAAAAGAAAAACAACAAAAAAAACATATTAAACCGAAACGAAAGAGGAAAATAAATTATTACAACCTACAAAAGTGCGAATTTATACGAAGTTATCCAGACGGGCTACCTGTGCACTGCGAACCCGGTCAGAGCCTGGAATCTGCACGTGGGAATTTGAATTTTTTTAATATTTTGGATCAGTGCCCCCCCCAGCTCCTAGGTCCTCGCTACGCCCCTGTTGTGGGCTCAACTGTGGAAGCATGGGTGGTGTAGCAGAACGCTCGCCTCTCAACAATGTGACCCAGGTTTGAGTCCTGACGAGCTCAGTGTTCCCTCCCTCCGCAAAAATCTGATTAAATTCTAATTTGATCCTTGGAGATATTCACGATAGGGCTAACCTCAATATCTCCTTTTGCACTTACCGATGAGAATAAAATAATGTGTTTTTTAAACTGTAATAGTAGCTATTATTCAATAGAAATTATTTTTATCTATTATTTAATTCAAAGCAACTGAGTGAAAATCAATATATGTAACATCCTGACCATGATAAAGGCCACACCCCAAACATCAGTTTGTTTTTTACTTCAAATTCACTGCATTCATTACACCTTTATTCTTTAGGGACCATTCATGATTTATGGTTTGGGGGAGAGGGAAGTAAAAACAGTATCTTATGTCATTTTTGTGTCACAAACTTAGCTGAAACTTGTTTGCTTGCTTCAATTTTCTTTTTATATTATAGTATACAAACTAGTCCTTCTAAGGGTAATGTCTTTCACAACAGAAGGCTTGAATACAGTATATTGCATGTGAGGTTTTCGTGGTTTGTGGGGTCTAACCCATCTTTTTTATTTTAATAAGACAAGGTAATCATAACTTTAAAATATGAATTAATGCAAGTTGGGTGAATTCTGAAAAAGGTTGAAAATATATAAAAAATGATTCAAGACAATTGATATAGAATACAAAAATAATTAATACAACTGTATTATATCAGTAGTTATGAATTGTTGTGAACAAAAGCTGTCAAATATTTTCATTTGTCTTGGCTCTTCATATTTTGAATTTTGAAAAAGAAAATTATTTTAGTTTTTGTTTCAAGTTAATTTGTTCCTATTAAGTGATATTATTTTAGTATTTGAATTCACACCATGACTACATTGTGACCAACCAGTAAGTCAATAGAAACACCAAAATGTTTCCAATTAATGATTCATGTACTGATGTTAAACTTGATTTGAAGTCACATATCTCCACCAGTGGTAACAAGATTTGCTAACATCAAATAACTGGTGATCCTTAATTGCCATAAACAATGATTTTTAAAGTGCATAATCAAATTATTGAATTAGTCATCCTCTGAAGATTAGTTTGTTTCCACATTAATATTATCATTTAAAATCATTTACTGAGTATATAATTACCTAGAGGCTACCATAGTCTCTTTCAAATGAGAAAGTTTTTTCAAAACCTTTGAAACTTTCATTAATATTTCATAATCTAGCAAATTTTGTTAAAATTCAGTGGTGAGAATCAATTGTAGTATTATATCTATTGTGTAGCTCCAGAAATTATCCATACCCCCCTCTCCACAGAGGAATTTGGAATTTCCGAGGGGTGTGAGGGAGGGGGCAAAGAAAGAACAAAATTACAGAGTTTGTGTGGAAGAAAATTGGAATTTCTGAGATGTGGGGAGGGGGGGGGGGGGGGGGGGGGGGGGGGGTCTTTTAAAAAATTCCTCCATAACAGGGTGAGGGGGATATGGATAATTTCTGGAAATACACATTTGTTGAAATATTCTAAGAAAAAAATTATGAATAATTATGAAAAGAATAATGTGTATTGTGATTATTATGATTTAACAACTTAGTGCTTTTGTTCGTCAATGAGGAATAAATCAAATTTATGATACGAGGCTTTCTAATTATCTCTTTGGAGCTCTGCCAATTTTGCCTTTTTGCAGGTACCAGCAATTAAAAAGGGATTCATTAGTCCATTCGATAGTTCATTCTTCATTGCTTTTAATCTTAAGTAGTAGAAATTAATAAAATATTATCAATGGAATTCAAAGACTTTGAAAAAGTGGGAGCTCTTGACTGAAGAAGAGATAAAGGAACTTAGTAAGTGCATTCAAGTAATGATAAAACACACTAGTTTTTAGCTAGTTATCTCTTCTAAGTACATTCAAGGTCAATCTTTCGGTGTTGATCAAGTTTATTGTTAAAGACTACTTGCTATACTGGTATGAACCTGCTGTTAAGTTATTTTTAAGAAAGAGTAAAAAGTTATATTGCTTCACGGTATGTGGCCAAGAAGAATACGAAATTTTTTTTTCATTTGACATATAAACACAAGGATGCTGTTATTTGTTAGTAAACTTATTGAAAGCTGATTTGTTTTGGTCCAACTGATACATATTACTGTATCATGCTGTGAGACTACAGCTGGTTTAGTAAATGACACCTGCCTTTCATTGTTTCTTCTCAAAATAAACACGTATGCAAACACATGGTATAAATTATATTTACTGTTACCTTTTTCAATTTATTGAAACGGGTATGCCTTAAGGCATTTAATATTAGATCAATATTGCTAATAAATGGATAGAGATGCCTATATTAAAATAGGGTAGCCCATTCAATTCAAGTTATGTCAATGTAAAAAAAACTGATATTATTATAGGGGCCAAAATAAAATCAATTCAATATACTTAGAGACTGACAAAGACCAATGGTACAGATTGATACATTCAAAACATTTGACTCTATGAATACTATTATTAAGGCCCTGTTACACAAACTTTAAGCTGAAACTTGTGTGCAATGACATTGTAAGACAAGTTTCATGGGGGTGTTACATGGAGCAGTTTAGGCTTTGTGAAACTTTTGCTGCAAGAAGGTTTCACAAAAAGTAGAACTGCTTTCTACTTGTGCAACCGAAACTTGTATCTCAAACAATGTTCAAGGTGAGATCGTACAACACCCCCCTGAAACTTGTCTTGCAAAGCCATTGCAAGCAAGTTTCAGCTAAAAGTTTCAATGTGTAACATGGCCTTTACTCTTATAAATTTATACAGAAGGTCACTCAGAGGACCGGAGAGATTGTCACTATTAAACACTTTCCATACATTGGTTCACTACAGACAAGCAAGGCTTCATTGGATAGTTTCAAAAGATTATTCAAATATTTGAAGTTTGCAACCTCGACTGCATGTTTTGTTTTTGACAGAGTGTCCATATTAAGAGGGTGGATTGAAGAGTAAATGCAATCCTCTGTGTCCACAGTAGGGTGTCTGTATTTAGCAAAAGGTTTTTGAGGGGATGGGCATTGACTGTATACATTGATTAAAAGTAAAGAAGCTGAAACTAGCTTTAGCTTCTTTCAAGATTGCAGACATATTTAAATAATTTTACATGCAATTGAATTAATTGAAATGAGATCAATTTTATTCATGTATGCACACGAGAAAGACCCTTACAAATCTGTATCAAATTGTTTAATATTAATATTCTAGTGATAAAGCTAGCCTTGCCTCTGACAAAATGCTTTTATTTCAGCAACAAGAACAAGATCCTACCAATCTTTATATTCAGAATCTTCCACCTCATTATGATGAAGCTGTAAGTCTACTATTAACTCACTTTAACAAACCACTAAGAATAATTATGAAACATTGAAATCTCTGCTTCCCTTCACCCACATATACTTTCCATCCATTCATCCCAGCAATCCATCCCATCCATCCACTCATTCCATCCCCTCCATCCATCCATCCATCCATTTATTTCATCCATCCATTCCTTCTATCAATCTATTCCATCAATTCATTCCATCCAACCACCCCTTTCATTCATCCATTTCCTTCCATCCATCCATTCCTTCCATCCATCCATCCATTTCAACTATTCATTTATTCATTTATTTTTTCTATTCACCTTTTTTACCCACTATGCACTGTAGTGTGTGCATAAAGTCATAAGTTACTGTATGTGTTAGTTAGAACTTACTTTGTCAGTTCATTCATTTTGTTTATTATTCATTTAGATGCTGGAAAATATGTTTAGCAAGTATGGCAAAGTTATTTCTACAAGAATACTACGGGATAAAGACACTAACAGTAAAGGTGTTGGATTTGCAAGGTAATAAACTTTGTTTTTTCTTCATTCATAGTCTAAATAAACATATCTATTGTCTTAAAAAAGGAAGGTCATAACCCAATAAGAATAAATAAACACATGGCTTTAATTGCATTCCTTTCATATATATAGATCTGTACACTAAATCTCTGAACTAAATCTCTCTTTACAGAATGGAGAGCTCAGAAAAATGTGAATTAGTCATTAGAGATTTCAACAAAAAGAGTTTACCAGGTGTGTAGAAATGTCTTTCAAAATTGCTGCAAGGCTTTATTAACAGATAACGATTTATTACTCGAAAACCTAATCTTGAGGTGGTTGCTCCTTTAAATTGAATGAAAAAAATAACTGCTTTGTTTTTGTAAATGATTTGATGTCAATGCTTGACCCAGTTTTGGGTATGACAGTATGACACTGTCAAATTGTTTATTCTTCTGCGTTTTTTATAAAAACGTTTATAATGTAGCTTAGATAGTATGCACTCTCTGACTGGTCAAGAACAGCGCTTTATTAGTAAACAGAGCACAGTTTCTAAAGCCACCCATGTGCACTGCATGCAGCAAACTTGAAAGAATTATCTAAAAAAACATTGAAAACTACAACATATTTTTTCTTTTCAAATAAAACATTTATAACAGGTATTTTCCATACCCTGTTCAGAAATAAAGCACTTGGGAATTGCTGAAAGCACTCAAAGTATGAGAAGCACTAGACTACAGCTCAGTCAAGTTTCTCCTTACCATTCTCTTGTGCTTTATTACTTCCTTATTACTTCATGCTTCATCATTTCCTACATGCTTTATTACTGAACGGAGCACATAAAAAGCTGTTTCAATTGTTAAATATGTGTTATTTTAATGCAATTTATTGGAATATTGATGCATTTAGCACAGCATATTTTCTTGCATTTTGGCTTTTGCCCATTAAATTTACTTAGGTCTAAGTAATTTTTTTCTTTGATTGATGGAAATTGAAAACCCAGATGCATCAATGTTGTCAAGATTGCAGAAACAAGAAGGTGCTCTAACACTAGCTAACAATATTGTCTTATGGCTAGGATCTTTGCAAGAACTTGTGGTCAAGTTTGCAGATGGAGGTCCCAAGAAAAGACAGCCAGGTAGTGGCTAATGCTATTTTTTCGTTATTTTTTTTATCATCATCTTCTTCTTCTTCATGAACATTCTTATTAATGGTCATTGACATTTTCTCACTTGCAGATCAAGCATGGCCAAGAAGTCAGCAAGAGGCAAGTATCTTGTTAATGTAACAATATAGATACATGACACCCCCATATAAACAAGGATGATTTTATAGTGACATCATAGTAACATAGGTAATATAGATTGTGACTTGATATTTGTTGTAATCCCATTTTATTGTTGTTCTTCCAGAGTGGTCTCCAGGTTACTGGCTATGATCCTGTTGTACTGCAGAATGGGTATGTCATTTATCATCAACTACAAATCTTCAATGCATACTGTAGTTTGTGAAAATAAAAACCTAGTCGTTATTTCTCATTAGAGTGCACACCATATATCTGTGAAAAACTTCGTAAGAAATTGCACACATTTTCACAAATTAGTAAGTTCAGTAGACCTCAGCAGACCATAGACCTACAAAACTTTGCACAAAATTGTTAGTCAACTTTTTCACTGATATATGGTATTCACTCTACCAGCTCACAAAATTGAAATAATTATACCCCCTTGACATTGATACAAGTCATAGAAGGTATTGATATATTGGTACAAGATGACTGTGCCTGTTGTTTTATTGTCTATTTATTCTATTGAAAGCTGCCTGAGTCTAGAACAAGTAACAATATTTAACGCCAAGAAAAACCTGACCTTACTTAGCTGATGTTCTTGTGCTTGTAGACAATACCATCACTATCATACTTATCAACATCATTGTCATTGTAGCTATCATCGCTCATCATTTATTTATTCAGTCTATCTTATCTTGTTTATTCAAATTATCTGCATCTTTTTAGTTTGTATTGTCTAACTGTTTCTTCTTTTGTGTCCATTAGTAGTAATACTAGAGTAATAACATCACATGGGGCAGCCATTCCAAGCCAGGTATTAATGAAACTTACTACTAATAATAGAGGCTTTGCACCATCACGTGATGGCAGTTACGAGAGTCGTTTTCCCCTGGGAAAATGAATTTTTTTATGCAAATCAGATTAGACAAGATTCAATAGGCCCTTACGGTCACGTGTCTGTACTGGTGAGCAAAATTTTTTATTTTATTTTAAAGTGGTGATTCTCACCAGTAAATTTCACCTATGGGAATCAAGATGTTCATTCATTTGCTCTCAGTGAATTAATCAGCACGTGATTACTGAGCTGCAAAGGGCCTATTGTTCCTGTCTCCTGTCATGGTTGCTATCACTTGATGGTGTAAAGCCTCTGTAGGATGTAGATTCTTTTGTTGGGACGTTAATTAAAAAGGAAACGGTTATTCTTTCTCATCAGCGATAATAAAATCTTCTGCTTAATATCTTTAATGTATTCCCAGGATGTGAACTTATTGTTTTGATTTGATCTTTAGACTGCATATGTACAAGGTGTACCTGTGGCTGCCTACCAGGTTAGTTTAGATCAGATGTTATGTTAATCAAATAGTGGTGTTACAAGCATGTCATTAATGCACATTAAACGCTGTGGGTTTATAACAGCACTCGTGTTGTTGGGCCCAACAGCAGATATATTTTCCTTTTAGATGTAAAATCTGTTAATTTGCAAAAGTATTACATTGATTCTGCCTTGTTGTCACTTGACTCTATACCTAATGCATAATATTAGAGACCTTTAGCACGACGTTTTTGCTAGGTACCTCAAACCTCAAACTGCAGTTCGACGTCGGGCGTTTTCCATCAAACTTTCGGCATTTAGCAAGATGTAATGTTTCTGGAAGAACCGCCACAATGAGTGTCATTGATGCTGAGTGTTTCTTCGTGTTTGCGGGCGTGTTTCTGGGCCTGATCCATAGCTTTTAGCGGTAAACCCGATGCTAAAGGTCTCTATTAGCACAGTTTTTACATTTCCTGCATTTCGTTTTAGTTACCAACAGGAGGAGGATGGGTGACGCCACAGCACTATCTTCAGATGCAGACTCAAATGCCTCATGTAAGTCTAAAGGCACGATTACACGGAACAATTTTCTCTGCAACTTGTCTCGCAACAGCATTACAACACAAGTTGCATGAGTGTCTCGGAGACGCAATCGCTACGATTACTGCAACTTGTCTCGCAACATTTTTCGAATTGCGCTGTAGGTTACACGCTGCAATGCTCCATGAAACTTGTGTTGAAACGTGCGAGACAAGTTGCAGAGAAAATTTCTTCGTGTAATCGCGCCTTAAGGTCTAGTGAGGACTACTGAACTTGATAATTTTTGCAAAGTTGTGCAATTTCTTATCAAGTTTTTCACGGACATATGGTGTGCACTCTACTAAGTTAACATATATTTATCTTGTTTGTTTAACAGAGTCAACTTGCAGTCAGTCCAGGTACACTAGACCACAACGTAAGTGCAGTTCATCAGTCAGCGCTTGCCAATCAGATGAATCAAATGCACATCTCAGGCTCCCAGTATGTTACAAGTCCTGTCCATGGTTCATTCCCTCAAAGCTCTTGGCAAGTCGTTCAACATTCAGCTGGTCAGGGACATCCCCATCAGCATTATGTTGGCATGGAGGTATTGTTATTTCGTCTTGTTTTGTATGCTACAGGCTTTCTACTGCAGAAATTGCATTACGCAGAAGTCTTGCATTTTACACAAAATAGGACCAAGAAATGCCTTTTAACCCCAGGGTACATTTCATTTGTGTCAACCAAGGCTTCCTAAATATCGTCTTGCACCCACCACACAGCAAAGTGCTTGGGGCTCAGGAGCACTATCACTGCAATATACTGAAAAATTCTTCTATCATCTATTGGTAGTACTAAGTCCAGAGGAGGTTTGACGTAACGGAAAATAAGGCACTCTATTCTGCATGATGAAGCTGCATGACATATATAAGCTTTTGTTATACGTGATAATGGGATTAAAACACTAAAGCAGCTGTAAACAAACCTGCTCAAATATGCTAAGTATTAATAATGTTAATGCTAAACCGTGCGAACGAGTCCTAACTGCTCTCTTGTTAGGCATGATTCTGTTTGTTTGTAAGTTTGTTCCTTTCCCCCCCTTTTTTTTGTTCGTTAAAAAAAAAAAAAAATTGGTATTTGAGAACAAATATGCAAGTATTGCTGCTAAATTGCTGCTGATGTTAAACCCTTTGCCATTCAGTATAAAATTGCTTATATATTTGCAAGGAGATTATTGGTTAAAACAGTTATTTCAGACAGTCTCCATAACTAATAGCTATAAGCTTCTGGTGATGGTATAGGGTCAGGTTAAAAGAAAAAGCGCTATAATACTGATACCGGGTCTCAGCTTGTAAACTCTTAGCTTGTGTGCACTCGCCTAAGCACATAACCACTCATCTTACTTTAATGTAGGACCCTACAATGATAAGCAGTGGCGTTAGTGACCCTGGGCCTCCCTTATCACCTCAGGCCGCTGCAGGAGTACATCAACAGATGCAAGAACAAGCATTAGACGAGCAACGCATGGCAGCATACCCAGCAGCTTATCAACAAAGATGGCAGTTGGATCCCGCACCAAGGTATTTCCTCAGCTTTTAGCCATAATTGCTGGTTTTCAATCATTCCCAAGAGAATGAAATAAAAAAAGACAAAGGCGACCATGTTGGATGATATAACAAAAGAGACTAATGACGAATCTTTTGTTAAATTCATGCAATATGGCAGCTGTGAAAATCATCAATTTTACGTGAGGATTTTAAAGGCACCACGCATAGGTATTTTAGATATATTTCAAATTGAGGTCGCTGCTGACCGTTGGTGACGTAGTCATTAGCAGATCGCGTCGAAAGAGAAATACCCCGACTTAACAATTCATTTTGAGAAATGTGAGAGTTTTCGAATAACACCAGAGAGTTTTCTAATCAACTTAAAAATGTAGTTTCAAGACTATTCCAAAAAGTTTCTTGGTGCGTTTTGATTAATAATCGACTACTTCGACGATATTGCGGCCATCTTGCCAGGGGTAAAACAAAACAAAGATGACGGTAAATATATAGAGTTTAGTGTGTTTGTCTTTCTCTTATGGGTAAAGGTGATTGATATTCCATCTTTATTCATCGACGTCATTATCGTAACAAAGCTTTATTTGCATCCTAGATTCATTCCCCATAATGCTTTGCGATCCAAGATGGCCGCCGTATCGTCGAAGTAGTCCATTGTTACTTCATGTATTGACAAACTAAGGGTTCGTCTGTCTGTGAAATAAGAGCTCTGAGAATCGAAGGAGAGAATATAGATGTATAGGCGATGTATTCTTAGGGCTGTGTACGGGGGAGAGGGCAATTATTGTTATCATTCGGGCTACTTATACTACTTTTGTTTCCTTTCATAGGTGAAGCAGTGGCATCCATGATTATGCGACGAATTCTGATGTTTGCGTCTAGGTAGTTGTCAGTAAATGTAAGTCATGTCTAGAATGTTTGTGTGTAGTGTGGTGTGTGTGCGCGCGATTTGGGTCGTTTAGTGCTTTAATCTCCTGGTCAAAGAACACATTCTTATTTTTTATTTTTTATTTCCAAGATGATAGCCTTTTATACGATAAAGAACAGATTATAACTAGTTTTCGATGATTGTGCGGGGCTATGAAGTACAGTGTAGCTCAATTATTTTTATTGTTCTTAACGCTAACCGTTTCAAGCCTTCAGAGCTTTAGATATAAAAGGACTACAGGCTGTTGAGCTGGTTTTTATGAAACTAAGTACTTGATTCAAACACATCGTCCACGTTTGTAGACAATTATTAGACAAATACAGTCTCGATTCCCAAGGGCTAGATTTTCTTCTCGGTATTCAGTACCAAATACGGACCTCTTTAAGACTGATTCCTTCTGTTTAATCAAGAGTAATATTATTCTGGTTTGTCTCTCATTGGTTGAGAGTGAGAATGGATGATTGACCAACCAGGAGTAAGCTTTATTCTGGTGGTTTGTCTCCCATTGGTCGATAGGGAGAATGGTTGATTGACCAATTAGAAGTAAGGTCAATTCTGACTTGTCTCCTATTAATTGAGTGTGTCAATGAACGATTGACAAATCAGGACTGAGAATGAATGATAACTTGTCTGTTGACAAAAGCCCTGTGTTACTGAGAAGATAAACAAGAAATGACATCCCAAAGCAGCGGCTTTCAAATGACCGTAACGTTAAGGCAGGAAGTTTATTATTTTATAAAGCAGTTCACTCTCAAATTGACTTTTGGATCATCTACGAAGCTGGTCGTCTTTAGAGAATTTCCTAGTTGTCTTAACTTTCCTAGCGTTTCAAAGTAATGGCTATTAAAATGAAATCGCAGGAATAAACCTTTTTTGACGAATTAGAATTGAAATCGATTTTTAGGAAAACACACAGCCATTTGCTTAAAGCGCAATATCTTTTTCTTGAGTAAACATTAGATTTGAATGTACTTAACATCGTTTTATTTGGAAACTAATCTATTCTTTCGATACTTAAGAGCTGTCCTTATGTCTTGAATGCTGTCCTTATCCATTAGATAATGAACCCAGTGCTTTTTTGCGCAAGCCATCATCTTCAAGCTAATCATCTAAAAAAAAACGCAAAAAAAAAAAAAAAAAAAAAAAAAAAAAAAAAAAAAAAAGCTAAATACAATGTCTTGATGGGGCGCGATCCTCAAAAGCGAGGCCTACGCCCACGAAAAAGTACATGCTTGCTTCCTCTTTGTTTTTCTATGCTTTGATCATTGTCTTAGTTTAGTAGTTACTAGTTCATGATGAAGATAAACGGCGGTTGAACTGATCTTCAGTTTATCAAGAATTGAAGCTAACATTGTAGCGACCCTATTTGCCTGTCCGTAGCCAATCAGATGGCTTGCCCATAATCAGCTCTTTTCATTCCTACCGACCATTTCCACATACAAATTCACTATTATATTTTTTGAAATTTTTTGAATTCAATCAGCAGTTCTTGTTTAAGCGTTCATCGTTAAGTTATCTCTACATACAATATATCTCAGTTGGTATATGACGTCGTATACATATAACCACATATATGTATTGGACATGTCTAAGAACGCGAGAACCATACATTGATGGCCTCAAATATTGTACTATTTATGAACCTGGTATTAATATTATTGATTTTTTCTATAAAGGGCCGGACCCTTGTTATTCCTCCCTTATCGCTGGCGATAGTGCTTGAGGATTTTTATTACTCTGTACATATTCTATTGGTACTTCTGGAAGGCTGTAGCGGCACGTGACTTTGTTAACGCGTGATTGGATGAACTATCTATATATATTGGCAGTAAAAAACTTACGGACACCATTATTAAAAGTTAGGCTGTTGCGGACGGAATTTGTGAAATTGAATAAATTCAGTATCTTGAAAAAAACTGAACCTCGAACTTTCACTTCTGATGATTTCGAATTTTCTTGATTTTGTTTTGCTTGGACAAAAACCACAAAAACCAAATGATTTTCGATTCTCTCTTACTAAATATTAGTAATTGTGCCTTTGTCCAGTTGAGCCGGGTAGTCCAACTCGCAGGGACTTTTCACCACACATCATCTTCCTTCATTCGCATCATTTAGATTTTGCGACAACAGTACGAAGAAACTAAATAAATCTAAAATGAGAACTAAAAATCCCTAATACTTTTACTCTACCTACCAGCGGTAGAATGTTATGACAGTGTCCCCTAGTGTGTGACGAACAAAAGGATAATATCTTACTTCCATCTAAGTATCCTAACAGATATTTATTGATCGGTCATTCGACAACATACAAACGTGATAATTTAACTTATATTTTCCCGAACTGTTCATAGATAGATTATATTGATAGTACTTTAAACAAATCCCTTGAAATTACCGAGGTTTTTATTATTTCTAAAACTAAAAATTCTGGTATCAGGAATTGGCAAACCAGAATTATTCGTGAAAATGTCTCCCTTGTGCTTTAACAAAACGTATACACTTATTTCAATAAAGTTAGTCACCTGAAAAGCTATAAAGCTGAGGCCGACCAGGATTATGGGTAGATTCATTTTACACGTTCAACGGCTTGATAACTGTTCATGGACTTACGAATCTTTTACCGGTTACAGTCTCACCTCTTCTGAGCATCATCGAGCTGCAGTTTGTATTAAAAAAGCTTTGTATATATATGCTTTTTTGATATGAAAAGTTTCCCATGATGCTCAATGATCTCAGCTGTCTAGGTTTTTGGTGACTAACTTTATTGAAATAAGTGTATAAATTTGGCTTATAAATATTCTTTTAAATCTCTGCCGCTCAACAAAGGTAAATTTAAGTACATTCGTACCAGAAGTTTCTCTCTCCAGTCGTTCTCGGTCATAGTTTTCGAGAACTGGAGCGAGAAAACTCTGAAACCCAGGGTAGTTTTTAGGGCACTTGAAGATTGTTGTTTTTCGCTGACAGTTTATACTTCGTACATGAGCGCTAGGATTATCGATAGAAAAGGTAATAAAAGAGGAAGAGAACGATAAATCTAGATTGGATAGCAGTTTACTCAAGGCTCTCAGGGGACGATAATCTCAGTGCCATTTTCCAGACACGCGCAATCCCGCTAATTTTTGAAGGGTTTTTTAGTCGAACTTAATAGGATATTAAAAGGTTTTAGGACAATTTGTAGGCTTTATGCATATAAAATCGATTCAATTGACCATTTAGAAACTAAAATTTTTTTTAAAGATTTCCTCAACCGCAAAAAGGATATTTTTGCGAATTTACAGTCGAACTGGACTACGTGACACTTCTATTTAAACTACTTTGCGAAACCATTAGGCCTTATGACCTTGAGACTTTTGAGTACATTTACTATTGTCATGGTGCTAAGGGTGTTATGTGTTTATCTGATAGGACAAAAGTTCTGACGTTAATAGCTCTGCTTTAGAGACACGGCTTTATTTGCCGCTTTCAAATTGTTACACTTGTTAAAAGGTTTTTGTAAAGTTTGATTGGAGCGAATTAGATGCCTTTTGAGGGTCGAGGTATTGTTAATTCCCCCCCCCCCCCTCCAATGCATGTACAAGCTGTTCTGTTCCCTTAGTGAGAATATAGTGATTAATGTCTTGATCTCCCCAAAATCCCTTTTTATCATGAAGCTCTTAGTAAATTTTTCTCTACAAAGCCGTTCTCGTGGCACTATTTTCCTATCAAATAAAGAAAGCAGTCTAAAGACGGCGAATCATTAGTGTAGGTTATGAGGGTTGGTTAGACTGATATATTGAAGACGCTGCCATGCAGCACGAGTATTGAGACAAAGTCTCATTTTTTCTTTAACTGATTTACATTTTTATGAAATTGAAATGGAGAAATGGATGATTTTTTCGTTTATTTGACATCTTTAGGATTTTTTATAAATAGATTTATTGATTGTTATTGTAGAAGCTCTACATTGAGTAAAACCATGTTCTGTGCCCCTGTTCAAGTTGAAACGGATAACAGCACTATCTGAGTTTTATTACTTGAACAGGTGGGCAAATGGTTAAACTTCTAGAGGGGTTTTCGTATTCATGGAACACGAATGATTCATGATTTTAGTTACACATACACGGTAAGTGTGTTAACACTGACACATCCTCCCATTCATCCAACCAAAAACGCGTAGCTACGGCTATGATAAAATGCGACTATGAAGTTGCCGTGTTATTCCCACTTATACGAAAACTTCTCTATAAGTTAGGATGGATTATTTAGTAGGCTTATATTCACCGTCTTCTACGATAGGGTGGACCAAATTTTGCACCGCGAGAGTATGTCGGCTATTGAGCAATCACAAGGCTATCATTGCAGTATTTCTTCTTGCATAGCTTGCGTTACGCAAATATTTGTCTACCTACTTCGTAGTCAACTATGAATGCGCTCATTCAGTTCTTGTTCCCACAGCCCGCGTTCCTCTTAGTCACCGCGCTTCTTTGCGTAAACCAAAAGGAACACAGGTTATGGAAAATAGAATGGCTCTTTCATCTACGAAAATTAATCCAAGTGTAAGTCTTTGAAGTTCACCCCTGAAGGGTTTGTGGAGGTTAAAAGTATGATACTTGGATCACTCTACTCTTATGAAAAGACCATGAGTTCAAAGAAGAAAAAAAGGAAAGTAAGACAGTACTGAGCTATAGATCTATCTGAATGTAGAGTCACAGAATGTTTTAAGCAACCAGGTATTTTGTGATACATAGTTGAGATGAAAAGAATTTGTCAACGCAAAATGAACATTTGATGCAAAAAAAGCTTATGATTAAACGCAAATGATTAATTTTAGTTGAATTAAGTTGTATTAGAGCGAGTATGTTGAGTTAAGAGAGTAGTAAATAGTAGTGTAGTAATTGTAATGGTAACAAAAACATGCTTGTCAATAAAATATGGTTTCCGTACTAGTCATGGTTTATTCTTAAGATACATTCAGTAAGGACTGAATACAAAACTAAAACTTTTCCTAGACGTAGATGGTTTCTTCTTTCCTCTTCTTGGTGAGTACAGTACCAGGTTTGTGTTGAGCGTCTGGGTGGTTAGCTAGCTCTGAGGGGCAAGTGCTTACCTGCACCATAAAAACAAACAATCTATGTTAACTCTAAATTTGTACCATTCCAACCCAAAACATTAGGATTTTGCCTTCTATCAATCAAACTAGAAGATTTGATCGATTAAAGTCAAAATGGCAGACAGACTATGGGCTATTGACTCATAGGTCACGAGGGCGAGAGGACTAATTTTTTCAGTCGATTCCAACTAGTTGGTCAAAGATATAAATACAAACAAGTTTTGAATTAAAGCTAAATTTAGTATTTTGGTTTTCAAAGCCGGCACTTTTCGCCACTAGTAGGATATAACTTATAGCCTAGTAGTAGCTCATCCAATCAGAATGCAGCATTGATGATATACCACTAGTTGTATTTGACTAAAAGATAATTCGCATTGACCATACCCCAAGTATGAACTTCTGTTCCCTCTCACCCCATTTCACGAGGGAAAGAAGTGGTAGAGAAAAATCAGCGCTGAGAAGATCAGCTCAGCTTGATCAACATCGGCAAAGAATAAAGAAGCGTAGCCTGCTAATCTTTACAGGAGAAGTAAATACTTACAGGACTTGCAAGAAGTACTTGCTTGAGATCGTAAAATAAAGCCGAGTCGGATTGAGTCAGGAAGCTTATGGCCACACCTGTTTTTCCTGCTCGACCTGTTCTACCGATACGATGGGTGTAGTCTAGATGATTAACAAAAAATTAATAAATAGAGTTGAGCTACGACCTCACAACGCCCTTTTAAAAACTATACAGAAATGGTTTTATCCCTTTAGGGGAATAGTTGCAAACCATCATTAGTGAAACATGAGACACCCCAACCTTGCTCTATCAAGATAATCTATGACTGTTGTTCTTTTAGCTACTATAGGGCTGGGGGAGGGTCTGAAGTGTGGTATCTAAAGGAATCTCTTACCTTCTATAGTCTTTGCCATATCGTAATTGATGACATGTGAGACGTCCCTAATAATCAAAACGAACTCATTGATTATCGAAGCATTTGGAGTATTGATGCAAAACCTAACGCCTTAATTTTTGAAGTCGATATATGAGTTAGTCGTGCCCTGACTCGGACATTGTATCAAGGTATCATTAAAAAATTGAATTCATGCACAACACAGCGCACATTTCGTGACGCATAGAGCAGTGTTCGATGACTGTGAAAAAGTTGGTGCCGTATGCGTGCCTCGACACGACCGTGATGTTATCTAGAATTTTGATTGGTGGATTTTTTCTCGCGTAATGTGATTGGTCTGGGAGTGGCGTGACCTCGTCGTTTTCATGTCGTGTTTCGGACATTTGATTGGATAGAGAATAAGATTCCTCGTGCAATGTGATTGGGCTTGCATATGCATTACCGTGTTACGACCGTATTCGCGCCATGAGCTTTTCACAGTCATGAAAACTGCTCTATAGAATACGTAAAGAAACAAGCAGGTAAACAAGCTTAAGATGCGTCAGTTATGAAGCATACAAATATAATGAAAGTTACATACTTGATGTCAATACCACGACCTGCAACATCTGTGCAAACCAGGATGTCTTTAGCACCGTTCTTTAAGCTTGCTAAAGCAAGCTCTCTGCAAGAATACAAACGTCGATTAGGCATTATCATTTTATCATTCAGTCCATCGTATATTGCCATCATCATTATCATTTCTCTTCATCATCTATTTCTCATCATTCATCATTACCATCGCCATCATCATTAAAGGCGCGATTACACGTAGTGATTTTCTCTGCAACTTGTCTCGCAACGGCCTTGCGACACAAGTTGCATGGAGCATTGCAGCGTGTAACCTATAGCGCAATTTGAAAAATGCTGCGAGACGAGTTGCGGCAATCGTTGCGAAAAATTAGAATTCGCTTCTATTTTTGGCAACGATTGCGTCTTCGTTGCACCGTCTAAACACTCTTGCAACTTGTGTCGCAACGCTGTTGCAAGACAAGTTGTAGAGAAAATTGCTCTGTGTAATCGCGCCTTTAATCTATCTCATTAATACTAACACCGTCATCACGCCTCATCATCATCATCAGCAGCAGCAGCAACAGCAACAACAAGGGCAATGATCACAACTAATTATAAGTTCTCATAATATTTAGGGTCGTTTTACCAAGTGTAATACAAATGATGCAGTTCTTACCTCTGTTCTTGGTTACGACCACCGTGCAAGACCGTGGCGCGGAACTGCAAAACGTTATAGAAACATTTCAGAATTTGATAACAAAACAGAACTGAAAAATCATGGCAACACCAAGTACTTACGCCCATTTTCTCTAGAGACTTCGCAAGTACATCTGCTCCCTTGAAAGAGAAAAAGAAGACATTGAGTAATTAAAGTTTCTTTTAGGCCGGCTATGCAACATCTTTTGCATGATAAATGATAATTGATGCAAAAATCAACTCCTAAATTCCAATTGGAATTTCAGTGGATGAAGAGCCACTCTGTGGAAATGCCACTGCTAAACCCTATTTATTTATTTAATTCAAGTGCTTGCTCGATATTTTTGGGGGAATTACGCAGCCCCCTAAATTATCTAACGGTTCTCCCTTTGGTTCGTCCCTAAGTTACTAAGATGATTTCCCATTGTGTGAACAGCCTTCAGAACAAAAAGACAATCTTGTTTAGCTGACTTAGCACATTCAGTGTAATACTATGAAACCTTACCTTCTTTTGGTTTACAAACACCATGATAGGAGGATCAATATTACTGTTAAGGATCTCCAGCAACTTCTTCCTGCAACCAACAAGTCAAACATTTTAGTGTAAAGTTTTAACCAGTTGACCCGAATAGCAAGTTTTCAATAGAAATATGCATGGACGATTGAGCTTGCCCTCCACTCAAGGTTGATGATGATGATAATTAAAATTTATTGAGCTGATTGATACAAAGCAATGGCAACATCGGCTCTCGTAAGAGCACAGCTAGCTGTCCTTTACCTCATGGTAAGGATGAAAGGGGTTGAGTGCAAGATGGAGCTGATATTGCAGTGAGAGTAATACGTTACGTTGATGACAAGCGATGAGCACATCCACTCTCGTAAGACCACAGCTAGCTGTCCCTTACCTCATGGTAAGGATGAA